TGCATGTTGTCATGCCAGGAGTGGCACGCTCCTGGCAGTACGGGGTGTGAGTATCCTCCCCGGCTGGACCCATACCCAGTCAACAAGCCAGAAGCGATAAACATGAGACTATAGAGCTAGCATGTCAACATTAAGATGAAGCTTTCGAGGGGTCCCCCAAATAGAAACACAAAATGTGTTTCATTGGGGGAGGTTTTGATCTACATTTCATTTTGCGGGGTAGGGTTTAGTTAGGTTTTAGGGTTCGGGCTTCAGGTTTTCGATTCGGTTCTAGACTGGTTCTAGAAGGGTTTAGGTTTTAGGGTTTGTGATAGAGTTACCCACTCACCACTCACTTACTCCACTCACTCACTCCACCCACTCACCACTCACTCACTCAACCCACTCACACACTCCCACACTCACTTGCTCTCTTGCTCACTCACTGTCTCACTTACTTACTCACACACACACACACTCACTCACTCACTCACTCTTCCTGCTCACTCAGTCACGCCCCTACACACTCACTCACTCACTCACTGCGACGCGCTTGTGCATGTCGTCGACAGGACTGCGCGTCCGCCGGCCTCTGTATGAAGCACCCGCCTTCAACTGTTAATGTCAACAACTGTCTGTTCTTGAGCTCGGACTGCCGAACACAAGCACTTTTGACATCGGAAGACGTGGTAGCTAAGACCAGAGGTGCGTCTTGATGACCTGCGGCATTGGGCACTTTGCTGGCGGCTTGGAGGAAAATGTCGCATGCCTTTTCGGGATATGCTCGCAACCCGCTTTGAAAGTTGGCTTGCACTGATATTTTGTTTTGTCCACGCGAGTCAACATGCGGATGTGGATGGCAACATACGGACGGACCATGCCTCGTGCAACGACCGGCTTTGTCAGTCCCGAACTGCGCCGATAGACCGCATTCCACCGACAGGCCTGGCCTCCAGGGTCCAGGGTGTGTGGGGGTTTTAAGCTTACACGTTTGAAACCAAATCTATGAAACTGCGAAATAAGCCAACAAAAGCAAGCCTAGAAGCTGTAAGCGTGTTTTTAGATGTTGGTCCCCAAAGGCAAAAACCAACTGCTTGAACGCTGTGTCCACATAACAACTCTTTCAACAATTGTACTAAAATGGTGAGCTTGAACAACCATTTGATTGAAACGTGTATTTGGCCATGTGCTCAAAAAGCTGCAGCTTCTAAAGCAGAAACAACAAACCCCCCGCTGACCTGCTTCAGGCTGTTCAAGGCCCTGGGGGACAGATCGGAGCCTGTATCTAGGTAGAACAAGGATACAGAACAGTACTAACAGTACTAACATACGTGGCACAATACAGTATGACATGAAGTAAGGGCCCGATTGCACTTGCTGCCATGGCTTCTTCACAACACCAATGTTTCACACATCGCCCGCGCCCCCAATATGCTGGAACGGATCCTGCCGTCCTCCATGCCAAATGCCCGGTTGTGATTGTCGGTCAATGACATGTAGAGC